TATCAATACGGCTGTCATGTCTGTGGGTTAGACATGGAGCTAACAGGACATTAGTCTAGCTTAACATTCGGCAACTGCTACACTACACCAACCCACACCTCTAAGGACATCATATATGTTTAAGAATAAGATGAATCTTTATTGGTGGTACTCGGTTAACCTTCCAATTCCCAAGTCAAGATCCTATGGACTGAGCCACCACCACCCTAACATTTCACAATTAATCCACACTTAAACAGAAATGGTGAAATCCTGCATAATAAAATGAATCATCTTTTGACCTTAACAATTTTGCTTCCGATGACTGAGAAAACTAGAATGGATCTTAACAAGATGTGTTAATGAGGGCCAGGCCCGCTGTTTGTCTTTATGCTAAGCTAACCGCATCCTGACTCCTGACCGAGCATTTCACAAAAGGTTTGAAATGTTTCAAATCTAAAATGGATCTACTTTTGATGTTTACTGTTATGTTTACACAATTTAAAGCATTAAGATTCCATTATTCATTATTTTTCTCATTGTCTCCGAATTTAAGGAAAAGACCCAAACCAATAATGTGTCTGCATTTTCTTCTTGTCTGTGGCTCTTAGCATTGCATTACATTGGTTCCTCCTGAAGATTTATTTTTAAAACACTTCAGAATGTACAGGTTCATTTCTAAAAAATAAAAAGGCTAAATGATTTCCTCAAACAGCTGCTCAGTGTATTTCCAACACACTTTACTCCAAGAGCAGGAAATGGTGCGACTATTATCAGCTGAGGATGAACCCACATTTGTGAGTTCTGTGACAGCAGGACGGTGTTGTGGGATTGAGTCGAAATCATCTACAGAGTGTGTTCATGGTAATAAAGGAACATGTTATCCAGCGAAGCAAAGTGGTGCATTGATGTCTTATTTTGTTTAAAATGTGTCATTTATTTGTAATGGTGCATTATGGAAACAATCTCTTTGAACATACCTCAATAAGCAAATGGATTTCTGACCTCAATTGTACTGGAATAATAATTATTTAAAAAAGAAACAACTTTATGCTGCTGGAACAAAAGTGGTCATCACCGAAGAGGAGGATTCTGGGTAATGCTGGGTGTAACTCTATGTCTACATAGACATCTCTCTCTTTCAACAACTGGACACATCTGTGCTTGTGTCTCATTAATAATAACTAGTTATACACACAGAGCTAAACAAAGAGGCAGGCTGAAGATGGAGCCCCCCTCACATGGAGGAGCCCCAGAGCCAGGCTCACAACACCAGTGGTGTAAAGTAACTAAGTACATTTATCAAGTGCTGTACTGAAGTATCCTTTTGAGAGACTATACTTTACTTTAGTATTTAAATGTTTTGCTACTCTGTACTTCTAGAATTCAGAGGTAAATGGTGTACTTCTACTCCACTACAATTCAGAGGTACATGGTGTACTTTTACTCCACTACAATTCAGAGGTACATGGTGTACTTTTACTCCACTACAATTCAGAGGTACATGGTGTACTTTTACTCCACTACGTGTATTTAATACCTCTAGTTACTTCACAGATGTGGATGAATGATGTGAAATATAATCAAGTGTTAAATCAGACTTTAGTTCCACCTGGAGTAAATCCACCAGCTACCCTGCAGTATACAAAGCCATTCAAACTAGCTGCACCTTTACCAGCTTAGAGAACACTTTAACCTGTTGAACCCCATCCCTGTTTTTCAGGTCTCAGGCTCGAAAATGACATTCCCAGAACAAATGACCATATCTTCCCTTCTAAAAGGGTTAAGTTAATAATCTTTTTTCTCAAAGTAATGATAAACCTGTGAGTTGGATGTAGAAATGTCAGAATCAATATAGATGTTTTTTATTTTAAAGAAAATTCAGATTGAGCACAGTAAAAAACGGTAAATTATAGTGTCCGTCCAAAAATCTTTTTTTACTTATAGTGAACTACCCTTTGATGATGGTTAGGTAGACTAAAAGCTTTAGGAATCTAAAGTACAACATATAATAAGTACCCTGTATCAAGATTGATGCAAAACAAGTGACATTTGACCTTTTTAGAGAGGTTTAGCAAAAATAACTCCACCTCTGAGGTGATTTGGGTGGAAATGGGCGTTTTTGCCGTTTCTCTGGAACCCATTGGTCAATTTTGGTGATTGACATCTCTTTTTAACCGTTAGAGCCAATAGAATCGAAGGGGAATTTCCACATACACACACACGTTAACAAAAAAAGGTGGGGGCTTTGCGCATGCAGGTTTGCATGAGAGCGAACCTATCGCTCGCTCTGACATCTGGAAACGGAAGAGCAGGTTTATTGCTTATGGATTATCAGAAATCATTTCAAAGTGACACAGACACATTGGATTAACCTATGGATTAACTTCAGCAACGTTTTTATTGTTTTAATGCCATTGAAGACCACTTTTGACCAGACTACCACACAGGTAAGCCATTTTGCCATTTTTAGCTACCTAGCGCCACATGTTTTGATGTCTGTTTTTGTTTATAAAGTCACGAGTTCTTATCATGGAGTGATAATGTATGTACCTATCGATTTTGTGTCTCCTCACGATGCTAATTGATGGGTTGGACGTGGAGCTACGATAAGTAATAAGGGTCTTATGAGTGCAGTAATGCTTTAGCATTTTTTCCGCTCGTGGCTAATTTAGAGGCTAAGCGCTAGCTTTGTGGGTTTAAAAAAAAAAAGATCAGTTAGCTGAGTTTCTTTCCGTTACATGGATATAAAACATTCATAGTTTATTAAATATTAAGATGACCTCAGACGCTGTTTCCTGCAGATTATGCGTTTTTCCGCCCGGGGGCGGGGGGATGGAGTTCAACAGGTTAATGATCAATCATTATAAAACATATCATATATATTATTCTGAAATGGACCAATCTGCACAATGACTACTTTTACCTTTGGTACGTTAACTATATTTTGTAGCCTTTTCTACATTTACTTGAGTAACATTTTGAATGCAGGACTTTTACTGTAACAGAGTTGAATTCCTACCTGAGATATGTTTCCACCTCTGACAAACACCACTGACTCCCCAGAACTGTGTGTTTAGTGCATCAACCCCTATGTTCTTTTTGTAAACAAATATGAAAAAGTACAACCTCATTTGTTCATCACAAAGAAAGTGACATGGAATGGTTGGTAATGATATCAAGTCTGTGTGTTAAGAACAGAGCTCGACATTAAGGTAGACCAAAGGGAGTGAGCTATGTTTACAGGGGATAATAAACCTAGCAACACATTGAAAGCTTTCTGATCAAAACCAAGTCTGTTCTCACTAACCTGCCGGACTACCCGGGCTACACAGAGTGTTTGAAGGGAAATGCAGATGCATCATTAGTCAAAAGTAATTTACACTTCTGTTGGGGTGGCAGTTTAGGAGACTTGACCTCATGACCTCAGTTCACTTTTAAATCATGCCCATAGCGCTGAACTCATCCATTGATATCGTTCTTCTCACCTCAAAGGAATGCGTACACCTCCCAAAATGACAACAATAAATAACCTGTCAGCTCATCATCTCTTTATACCCTCATCCAGATATATAGTGCCTTCTTTTTCAGGTTTTTGGTCTGATGAAATGTTGGCTAACATAAGGAGTGCAATAAGGCCATCACCCCAACGTAGGATCCCAGTGCCCTCACTTCTCCTGGTCAGTGTATTGTGCTACTCCTAGTGAGAGGGGTCAGGGTGGGGGGGGGGGGATAAAAGTTTGGCCAAAGCAAACGGAGGAAGGTGAAACAGGCCTGACTTCAATCACTTTGAGAGTTTGTTGGTGTAGCTGTGGAAGTGGTCAATGAAAGGACAGCAATGTGCCACAGGAGAGCAGCAGATGTGAGGGAGAGACCCTCAGCGTTATCTCAGTGAACCATGATGCTTATAACACATGTACACACTGGCAACATCTCACTCAGAGACAAGCAGGAACCTCTCGTAGTACTTCTACTGTAGCACCCTTTACCCAAGGCTTGATAAAGCTTCATTATTGATTAAGAAAGCCTTTAGTAATGATTTATACATCAGGTAGAAGCCATAATTGGCAATTTATATGTTTTGGATTGCCTAACATTTTCTCTGAATCAGGTGTTTATAAATTGTCAACGATGACTAACTATTAATTAATGAGCATTTACTAATGCTCTTTAAACCAGTTAGAAGCCATTAAAAATAACACGTTTGGGTGTTGCCAAAATAAGCTGTATCAATCAAGTTCGACTTATACAGACACATTTCTCACACCTTTCTGTAGAATGCAATAATTCATTAGCAGAACACCCAGAAAACATGTAAGAAGCAACTAAAAACATATTTGATGTTGATTTCCATCCAGACTAAAAGCAGTGGCCTCACTTTATCACCTATGCTTCTTTCTAACTCCATCCTCTGGTCAAAGTGACTGAACCACCGCTCTAAGTCTAGAGTGTCAGCATGAGGCATAATATGAAACTGAACCCTTTTACCTCATAATAACTTGAATTGATCTATTACTAATTATTTGGGGGGGGGGGGGGGGTTAACTGTTTAGCTGAAGTTGTTGTATTTTAATATCACTAATACAGGACCAGAGAAAGTACCAGGGAGTTTTAGCCCCTTCAACCCTTAAACAGTGCAGACAACACCCCTAAACCTACATTCAATCCATGTATCCCAAATAAACCAAACCTGACAGAGGAAAAATAGAAATTTGAAATATATGGCCTTGACACCATTGATTTGATTAATTGCACTTATTATAATGGGTTTTTCTAAAATGTCGAATTAATAGGCTATGCAAATGAGGTCCGAGTGTTTGGCGTGTTTTAGGTGTGAGTTATACAGACAGTGTGTGGAGTGTTTCTACACCAAAGAGAGACAGTTATCAAGACAAAGCCCAAATATTCATCTATTTTAATAAACGTATTCACATACTGTGAATAGGCTGATATATCCCCTACAGAACATTCCATGTTGTTTCTCAAACGTTTAGGTTTTGTTTTCAAAGAAAGGGGCTCACCTCCTCCAGGATGCGGTCCAGCCGGCCCATGATAACGGGCTCCACCTGCTCCAGAGACCCAACCCAGGCGGAGAGCTGCGCGTCCCGCTGCTCCAGACTTAATATCCTGGACTGCAGCTCCGAGCTCCGCACAAAAACCACAATGCAAACTCCAAGGCACAGCAGAGACACTGCAATGCAAATTGAAACGCCTGACAAATCCTTCCAGTTCCTCCAGCGGGGCTGCTTGGACTGCGCGCTGCGGGTCCTCTCCTCACCCTGTTTACCCGCGACCCCCCACTTCTGATCCTCACACATTTTAAACTCCTAACTCAGGTTTTATCCACAGGGATCCCTATCTTCATTAGGTGAAGAGCAGCAGAAGAGAGATCCTGTCGACCTGCTGCGCGTGATGGGGCTACCTCTCTGTTGAGGCAAAAGTTTACTAGATGTATTTCCTTCCTCTTCAAACTGTCCAAACTTCTCTAATAGACTCAGATGAGCAGCTCCCTAGAAGTTAGAGTCCATACATGGTAGCTGGTCATCAGTCAGTGAGTGATGTTTCTGGTTCTCAGGGACGGACTCTGATTCCTCTGCGTTCCACTCCGTTTATCCCATTCGCTGCTCTCCTCTGAGCGATCCGCACCGTGCCGCAGTTCAGCCGTCAGTGCGCGTCTCTGAAACCCGAGCCAGCCCCCTCCTTTCACAGCTCCGGATGCCGCGGGCCCTTTGCTCACGGAGTTTGCTCCTCCTCTGAGAGGCTGTGGGTTAGATGCCGGGGCGGGATTCGTGGCCGTGTTGCTGGCTGCCCCTTTGATCCGCGCTCTTGGTGAGGGATATTTTTAGGTTGCGCAGAGCTTGGGCGCACAGTCTCACAGGCGGTGAACTGACGGCCTGCTGCGGCACGTCTCAGCTCAGGACCGAAGCCCTGCTGTCCTGGGTCCAGCTCAGGACCGAAGCCCTGTTGTCCTGGGTCCGGTCCGGTCTGCAGGAGGGTGTGCTGTGCGCGAGGCACTGGTGCCTGGAATTATAATAAATCACGTTGCACATTGAAATGATGTGAACGAAGTACAAGGAAGTTTAAATAATGGCTCATGGTTGCCAGGAGGTGTGTGCTGAATAAATCAGCTTAATTGTGTCATTTTTAATTTAATTTAAGCAATTGTTGTTATATCGATGTTGTGTTTGATATACAATTGTGCTTTTTAACATTATAGAGGCTTTACATAAGACAATTTGTTATCTGTTATGTTTGTGTATACAGTGTGCCATTAAAACCTTAAGACCTAATGTTGACTGATTGAATTTACCTAATTGTTGTTAAATAATACCTGGTGGGATTACAGCCTGTCCTCCAACAAAAAACGACCATATAGGTCGATTGTTCAGCAGATAAATACGACCCAGAGTCACGAAACAACATGCTCCTGTCGATCGCAAACGCTCTGGAGGGTCGTTTATTCACAAATAACCCTCTCTGGAAAATCCTAAATTGTGGAATAGTTTGGCCATTAAAATGCTTTTTTATTAGATTTATAGCGAGAAGTGTATATTGTACTTTTATAATCTACGTCCAGTGGATGTGTAGGATCTATAGTTTGATAGATATACGAAGATGATTTGAGGTCTCGCCAGGATAACGTGTACTGTATATGGGGCAGCTTCCATGTAAAGTTAGCATGGGTGAAAACAGTATTTCCGGTCTCGAAGTTTTCATAATAAAACCGGAAGTATTCACCACACTGTCAAATGATTACACAGTGATATCTCCATTACTCATCCACTAAAAAACATCAGTTTATACTTGTTAATTACACAATATTGATTGGTTTAAATTGTGTACAATGCTTTTGTGTTTTTAACCTTCGATTCGGAGAAACAAATAGTTTTTTCGGAGTTTAGACACAACAGAGTTTCCGAAGACACTACACTACCCAGAATCCCCAGCTATCGTTTGGGACTACAACATCCGCCTTGCTTTACAAACCCCGTGATTAGCCCTCAAGCTCTGTGATTGGATGTTGGAGTGGCAGTGCGACAAGGTTACGCCGAGTGTCTAACAGCTCTTTGAAATTGAATGGAACCACGCCAGACTATCCAAAACTGGACTTGGACGGGTCCAGCCCAGCCCTCCCCCCCAGAATTACACATGCTGGCTATTGTGTGTTTCGCAACATGTTCTATGGCACGTCTCTACTGGGAATTGTAGTTTTAAAAGACGTTTTCGTATTTCCCACAATTAGAAGTTGCCAGTATTAAACTGTATACGTCCCTGGAGGTTTAGGGGATACGAAACACATTGGTGTTATCAAATTTAAAACATATAATTAATGCATGGGTGAAAATTGCTTGTGCCCATAATGGACAGCATTAATATACCCACATGACAGCTAAGGTCAGAAGAGCTTTATTTAACAGCTGGTCTTATGTCTGTGACCCCTCCTGTTGTTAATTGATAAGCCTGAAACATGCACTTGTCAAGGTTCAGATGCACATTTAGCAAATATGGCAGTAGCCATCGATCATCTTAAGATAAGATATACTTTATTGATCCCAAGTTGGGAAATGTTTTTGTTACAGCAGCATGTACTACTTTGTTCTACTCCACTACAATTCAGAGGTTAACCTGGTATGTTTACTCTAGTACATTTATTTGTGTTACTTTGCAGATTCTGATTAATGATGTGAAATATAAACAACCCTTAAATCAGACTTTAGTTACACCTGAGTAAAATTCAGCCTTATCAGTTTGTCTGTTTTGCACATCCACCTGTTAATATCTTTGGACGTCCTGCACTAAACTGTTTTATTGTAGAGATCACTACAGTATCTTCTTGATATTTTCTATTCTATATTTCTATCATTGACCCCTATTGTGTATGTAGGCTACTCTTAATATTTAAATGTTTTCTTCAAATATAACTTATTCAACAACTAAATTCAATAACGTGCTTTAACCACTAGGTTAAAAAACCAGTGGTCTAGTTAATAAAACATAATAATATCAAACATTACATTACATTGCATTTAGCTGACGCTTTTATCCAAAGCGACTTACAATAAGTACATTCGACCAGGAAGACACAACCTTGAAGAAAACAGAATCATATAAGTACATCAGGTTTCATAGAGCCAAACATTTCAAGTGCTACTCCACTGGCTTTAGGTAAGCCAGTCCTTTATTAGTATAAAAGTGCTTCGTTAATAGTTCTAACGCTCGAAGTGGAGTCGAAAGAGATGAGTTGTCAGTTTGCGCCGGAGGAACATAATATGACTATTCACTTTATTGTGAAATTAAAACAGAACGGTAAAGGAAAATACAGTTTCAGTCTCTCAATGTGAAGCTTATGCATTGTACCATGAACTTGTATAGACCTGTAACAGTCAACTGCATGAGGAGTTGGAAAGGTAGTTCAGAAAATCAGTAATATCTTTAAAAAATACAAAAAAGTCCCTTTCTATCAGCTGTGCACCGTTATGGTGTAAATACAGACTATCTACTTATTGGATCAAATATAAAAGTCAGCCGAATTAGTGTTGATACTGCAAGGAGACGTATTGTGTGAAGAGAAATGGAAGATGTTGTTTAATTGTTGATATATTTATGATCCACGTCACGTATTCAGTTTTGGCGGCATCTCTTCCAGTTTGTCAAAAGGTCTTCTGATCAGGGCTCTATAAATAAATATCTACGGCAGATATGTCATATTTAATGCAGCCGAACCGTGTATTACGTGTAGCCGTTATGTGATGACTTCCAAAGAGAAAAGCAAGAACACTCGGAATAAAGTATTATTATTTTTTTTAAAAAATGTTTTCCGATTTCATATCACATAAACACCATATCCCGCCGTGCATTGCGGCGTGATTTTAGCCTATCAAAACCTCTGAAAAAATAAATGGCGTCTCTCAGAATCGAAAGAGAAAAACCAATGGGAAAAACACAAAAGCATTTTACACAATTTAAACCAATTAATGTCGTATAATTAACTAGGATAAACTGATGTTTTTTAGTTGATGAGTACTGCAGATATCACTGTTAAATCATTTGATCATTGGTTTTATTATGAAAACATCGAGACCGGAAATACTGTTTTCAACCCGTAACTTTACATGGAGGCTGCCGCATACCTCAAATCATCTTCGTAATATCTATCAAACTATAGATCCTACATATCGACTGGACGTGGATTCTAAAAGTACAATATATACTTCTCGCTAGAAATCTAATCATAAAGCGTTTTAATGGCCAAACTATCCTACAATTTAGGATTTTACAGAGAGGGTTATTTGTGAATAAACAACCCTCTGTAACGTTTGCATTCAACGGGAGCACTAGAGGGCGAAAATTTAAAACGTAATTATAGGTCGTATTAAGCGCTTGAACAAACGACATATTTGGTCGTAATAAGGGCTTGAACAATCGACCCATTTGGTCGTATGAGTTGGAGGACTTGTTGCGGGATTAACCTATGTGGGGCAAAAAAGCATGTTTGTATGTGATACTTGAGTGCATTGATTTGAAAGCTGTATGCATCTAATATCTCTTGAACATTGAAAGGGATATCTAGCAGTTTTATATTACAATTCCATAAAGTTGGCTCAGATTAAAATGAGGAATGATCAAAGTCAAAACAGCACAGGAGAGGTATTGAGACTTGTGTTGCAAGTATCATTCAAGTTACAAAACATTGGTTTTGCATTTCCCTATAAGGCAAATCCATAGATCCTTAATTGCACCCTCCCTGCAAGGTGAACATCTGTCTGACTTTATAACCCAGGCTTTCTGGTGGCTTGTTTGCAGTCTGAGATAACCCTGACTAACTGTGACATCATCAGTGGCTTTCTCATAAGGACATTATACATCTATTTTAACAGGCTTACCAGAATTCTGCCATCATTCTTATTGTAACCATCAGTGGCGGCGCCAGAGTCTTTTCGTTGGGTAATCTATGCAACCCGATATCACGGCAAGACGTGAACATGTGACGATTTACCATGCTGGGAGACGTGAAGATGTCACGATTTCGTCCCTTCAAACGTGACAGCTACACGGTATTGTTAACCCATGTTAACCAGTGGAGAAATAACCGGAAATACCAAGCAAATGCTACCCCGACGTAATGATTTATTTTGTAATAGCCACACTCGATTACGCCGATTTTCTTGTTGCCCCAGCTGGTCGACACCTCTTTTAGCAGAAACAAAGGCTACATTAATGTATTAAATCGATGTTAATCCGTGCGTGTGGATGTGGAATTAACGGACGTGACGTTGTGCGATTGAGTTGCCAAGCAACAGCTTCGGTTCATGTTAATTTACAAACTATTCAACTACAACCGTAGTTATATTTAAAAACATGTTAGAAGGCCTCACGAAATACTTTAAGGCAAATTAAAATGTAAATGTGAAGGAATGTGTGTATAACAAAATACATCGGTGATAAACGAAACCGGAAACAGACGTAGGCAAGATCCTCAGCTCGATGATTGGATGGTTATCCGCAATGCATGCTGGGATTTGGTGTTTATGTGATGTGAAATCTGAAAACGTTTTTTAAAAATACAATAATTCTTTATTCCGAGTGTGCTTGCTTTTCTCTTTGAAAGTCATCACATAACGGCATTGTAACACACGGTTCGGCTGCATTAAATATTACATATCTGCCGTAGTTCTCTATTTATAGAGCCCTGCTGAGAAGACTTCTAGACAAACATGAGGAACTGAAAATGTGACGTG